GACCAAGTCCTCAAATGACCTTTCTTTGCATCCTGGGTGTGGGGAGAGGGTGCCAGGACTTGCAGAGAGTGACTGGCTCCCTGAGGCCCAAGGTGGAGTGGCCTCTGCCCTGTTGCATGTGCCAAGCTGCCACCTGACTCCCAGTCAGGGCTGCCCTCAGTCTTCTGATGTTCCAACTGGAAAAAACTGTGAAAGTTTTGATGTGACAACATGTCCTGTGGCTACTCTTTCATTTAGGGGTTTGTTAGATATCAGCCTAATCCATGGTAGCCTCTGGGTTCTTTAAAACATCATTTTGGGATTGAAGCAAGAAATGGATGTAGTGTGGAAGGTACTGCTTATAAAAGCTAGCCGTGAGCAACACACAGCCAAGGGAAGATTTAGAATCTGACTCACTCATTTCTGACCATTGTAATCAGCCAGTACAAGTGATTTCAGAACTTACTCGGGCTTTGGGGCCATAAGTTCTGGACTTAACTGACTTTGCCTCTGAAAAGAACTTATGGCAGAAAATCTGTCTCCTTTCCTGGAGTTATTTAAGCAGCATGAATACTCAAAATTTTGCATGAGGTAAAGCACATTGTGACATCTTTAAAACCCACAAGTGAGTGAGAGCTACCTTTAAAGGTGTAGGTGGTCTAAGTGGCACATGGTGTAGGGCTCTCCCGGCCTGTTTCCTGCAAGGCCAGACAGACTCCAGTTCTGTATCCTATCCCAAGCTAGCTCATCTTGGGGACCTGTTTCTGCCCTCTGGTCAGAGCACAGGCATTATGGGCCCTGAGTGGGATATGTGAGAGGGGTCTGAGAGGCAAAGGAACCAAGAGGGTTAGCTGTGTTCTGGGAACAGAAGTTCTGGATGGAGCCCAGCTTAGGGCCTAACCCTGCCCTGTGCAAGTGGCTGCCTCTCTTGCCATTTGGTGCACTAAACCTTTCCCTCCTCTTTCCATCCCTGTCACAGAGATGAAGTGGAGACAAATAAGGAAGCCTGAGCAAAAGGACTTTGAAAAAGTGACAGAAACTGCTTCTGGTAAACCTGAGCTCTTGATTCCAGTGGTGGAGAGTCAGGGACTGACATTAATGCTGGGCTCTGGGTGGGAACTCACACATAGGATCTGCTCGAATCCTCAGCCCCCCCAGGATTTCTCAATGAGGAAACTGAGCCTCAAAGAGGGAAAGGAACTCAACTCCAAATCCCAGTCTATTCACATCACACTGACTTGTCTTTATAAGAAACTATTGGAGCTTCTTCTATGAACAAAATACATGTTCAATAAAAAAAATTACAAAGCATAGGAAGCCCGATGAGAAAGTTTAAAATGTACATAATTCCATGATCTACAGAGAATGTCAGTTCACATCTTTTTATGATTCTACCTTTGTTTTTTTGTCTGATCTACAGAGAACGTCAGTTCACATCTTTTTATGATTCTACCTTTGTTTTTTGTCTGCATTTAAAGATTTTTTTTTTTTTGCAGTGCTGGAGAAAGAACCCATGCATGCTAGGCAAGCACTGTACCACTAAGCTACATCCCTAGCTGCA